TTGAGTTCACTTGAGGATCAGGATAGTAGCATCCTGCATACCTTACAATTGAGTTTTGATCAATTGCCAAAACTAGCTTTGAAGCAGTGTTTTGCATTTTGTTCTATTTTTCCCAAGGCTTTTGTCATGGAAAGGCATGTTTTAATTCAGCTTTGGATGGCTGAAGGATACCTCCAACCATCTGAAGGAAATTCAATGGAGGATTTGGGTACCAAGTACTTTATTGAATTGTTATCATATTCTCTATTTCAAGAGGAAGAAAGAGATTATTTTGGGAATGTTAAATCTTGTAAAATGCATGATTTAATTCATGATCTTGCAGAATCAGTTTCAAAATTTGGTGCAGTGATTTTCAATGGAGGATCTGGGGGTAATGTTTCTGGTTCTGGGTCTGACATTCTAATTTCTGATCAGTTTCAGCATTTGAATCTCATTCATGGTGTGCCAACCAACTTAGGAGATGTAGCTCCAAAATTATGCACTTTGTTCTCAAATCATGGTTTTCCTTGTAGTATAGGAGCAGTAAAATTCAAAAGGTTACGGGTTCTCAGCCTTCATCATGCTTCTGATGCAAAACAATTGCCAACATGCTTTAGCAACTCAGAGAGGTTGAGGTACTTGGACATATCAGGAACTGAAATAGAAGAACTGCCCAAGTTCATCACCAAGCTATACAATTTGCAGACATTTAGATTCATGGATTGCAGATCTCTTAAAATGCCCCCAAGAGGAATAGGAGATTTAATCAACTTGAGGCATATTTATTTCAATGATGAAAAGTGTATGCCTGCAAACCTTGGGAGACTAACCAGCCTGCAAACATTGCCATTGTTTTTTGTAGGTACAACAAAGGGATGTAAAATTGAAGAATTGGGAAGCTTAAGGGGACTCAAAGGAAGACTAAGGATTTGTAACCTTGAGCTTGTTAAAGACAAATCAGAAGCAAAGACAGCAAAGTTACATGAGAAGGCAGTTGAGGATTTGGCTTTATGTTGGCAGAAAGGCGAAGGCAATCGGGTTAAAGATGAAGATGTCTTGGAAGGCCTCAAGCCTCACTCAAATATAAGAATATTAAGAATTGAAAGCTATGAAGGAAGAAACTTGGCATCATGGATGTCGAAAAGCAGTGAAGAATTGATGTTACTCAACAATTTGGTGGATCTGAAGATTTATAATTGCAGCATGCTATACAGAATTTCAGGTATCAATTGGTTTTCATCTCTTCAGCGGCTTTCTATTGAGTGGTGTTGTAAATTAACTAGCTTGGGTGATGGTGATGAAGCAGTGCTTACATCGATGTCCCTCAAAAAATTATTCATATATTGGTGTGATGAGTTAGAAAGACTTTTAGTTAATGGATTATCATCTCTGGAGGTACTCAAGATTAACAATTGCAGGGTGATAAATAGCATAGGAGATAGCCTATCAAGCTCCACATGTCTCAAGCACTTATATCTGGAACAGTGTCCTAAATTGAAGTTTGTTCCAAGTCTAGAAGGACTTGTCTCTCTGAAAACACTATATGTAGAAAATTGTGATGGATTAGAGTGTCTACCTACTGGGTTCTCATCGTGCACTGCTCTGGAGGAATTGGAGATACGGAATTGCTCTAATTTAGTTTCTATTCCTGAAGAATTGAAACACTTATCATCTCTTGTTCTGGTGAAAATTGGGCATTGTCGAAATTTGAGGAGCTTCCCTGAGGAGATACTCGGCTTTCTTTCCTGCTTGAAGACGTTAGAGCTTGGCCCTTTCTCAAAAGAGTTGGAGGAATTTCCAAATTTGAGTTCCACTTCCACTCCCACTACAGCCTCCCTTGAAGTCTTGCGTTTGGAAGGATGGGCCAAATCGCTAACTCTGCCACTTCAAATTCAACGCCTCACAGCTCTCAGGTACTTAATTATCACAAGCTTCAATGGAGTGGAAGAAGCTTTATTGGGGAACCTTTCTTGTCTTAAAACACTTCAAATTAGGGATTGTACTCGGTTGAGGTGTCTATTAGGTGGGCTGTCATCTCTTGAGGAATTGGAGATAACAAAGTGCCCCAATCTAGTCTCTTGTCAAGGAGAGTTGAAGGAACTGCATTCTTTAAAAATTTTAGGCTGTCCAAAAATGGTGGGCTTCCTAGAGAAGAGTCTCGGCTGTTGTACTAGGTTGAAGAGATTAGAGATCGGCCGTTTCTCAGAAGAGTTGGAAGAATTCCCAAGTCTGAGTTCCATCCACGCCTCCCTTGAGCAGTTGAAACTGTGGGGATGGGAAAAACTAACTCAGCTGCCAGATATTCAACACCTCACTGCTCTTAAGGAGTTGAGTATATACTACTTCAGTGGAATGGAATCTTTGCCAGACTGGTTCAACAATTTATCCTCCCTACAACGACTTGATATTTGGAGCCGCCCAAACAAGTTAATGGAAAGATGCACCGAGGGAAGCGGTCCTGACTACTGGCATAAGATTTCTCACATTCCATACATCAGAATGGCTGGGTAGATCATCCAATTCCAATCCAAACACTGAGGCAAAGAGGTTTGTGTTTTGTTTTTCTCACAACTGTACTTGTACGAATTCCCAACACCAAAATGTAAAATCTCTCTCCTCATCCTCCATCAATTAACTTGATTGATGCTGCTCCCTCCATTGCTATTGGGTGCTGCCAATTAATGTTATCCCATCAAAATTGTTTATTCTCTCTCAAACCATAAATAAATTCATGTTTTCCTTTTTGTTACTTTTGATTCATTTTCTTATATTGCATGTAGATGGAATGATGATTTCTAGAATTCAGAATTGCACTCCTAGAAGCTTCAACATTGAGGTAATTAATTCATTACTCTTCACTTGATCAAATTAACTTTTTTTATACATTTAAGGAGTGTGAGGGACAAGCAGACTTTATATTTGATTCATTCTTATATCGCATGTAGCAAAATATTACTGAATAATCAATGAGTTAATGGAAACAAAATTTCTAGAGTTCGGAATTTAACCTTGAGTCAAGGATATTCCTCACTCTTCACTTGATCAATTTAACTCTTTGCCCTTCACTTTTAATGATCAACAAAGCCAATTTCTTTCCCCAGTAATTCATATGAAAAGGAAAAATTTTAAGATTTCTATTCATAAACTAAAAATTGTTCAAACATTGTGAACTGCCACTAAGTTCCCAACATTAGAGCTTTTCATTATATTTTTTTGTCTTTCAGCAGGTAGATTGTGAAAGCCCTTTGTTAACATACATGAATTCAGGTAAGCAATCTGTTCTATATATTTGGTTTTTTTAAAGCGCAACCATATTACAAAAGTCATGCATTCCTTTCTTCATTTGATCAGTTCATAACAATGTTAGACATCACAGAATTGTTCTTTTCATATATGTTGAATATAATGTATTGAACTCTTATCTTCTTCACAATTTGGATCATACAGAGTACACTTGATTTTCAAAAGGTGTTCAGTTTTAGCCCTTAATTGGAAGAGATGTTCGAGAGTATTTTCTTCCTCAATTAGTTTGCTACTTCTTTGAAAACCAACCAATTTGTTCAGGAGAATGCCATGTGTAGCATATGACCACATTGGAAAACTTGTGAAATCTCATCCTTTTTGTTCCTCTATGAGGGAAAACTTTGACAGGTAATATACTGAACCACCCTGGTAATAGCTAGGTCCTAATTCTGCTATCATATGCTTGTGTTTAACCAATTATTTTGCATTGACCATACAGTTTTAAACTCATCTTATACACAGGAGTGTACGAGAACAAGCAGGCTCTGGTTCCCCTGAAATTGCTTTGGCTTTTTGGCCCTTTTCCTTTGATTATGCTAGGCACTTGTAACTTGGAAATATACTCCCACTTTTCAAGCCTTCTGAAATTTTATCAGATATTCCAAAGATAGCAAGAGGAAAGGAAGGAAAGCAGCAATTTCTGCCCAGCAAAAGACAATATTGGAATGTTTGCTGGGTCTTTTATGGGTTTTAACTTTTAAACATTTTTGTTTTGCATTTGAGCACGTCTTAGGATTAAAAAAAAAAAAATTCTAGCCCACTTGGAAAATTGGATCATGCAATCTATTTCAAGGCCCTCATTTTTGATTAGTTCAAATTTGGGAGGGTTTGATATGTCATTTCTAATTCTTAGAAAACCAACCAATTCAATGGAGTGACTTGATTGATGTAGAGTGGAGTACAAAACTGTCTTCAAGGTCTCTCACTTAACAGTTGCAAGCAATAAACTGAAAGGCATAGTTTGAGCAAAATGGCATAAGTTTGACTGCATTTCCAAGAAGGTAAACATATTTCAGTATGACTGATTCTGAGCTTAGATCATTAATAGAAAAATTATGATCTTAAAATTTATTTTAAATGCATATGCTTTTCTGTGCAGTTACTTTTAAATTTTCACTTCCTAAGACGGCTATTTAATTATCATATGTAATCTTCTCTGAACAGCTACAGTGGTGTGGGTTTGATTTCAGTATGTTTGTGTACAACCATCTTGTTTCAAATTATCACAAGCCTTGGTCCTTCAAAAGAGGGATCCTGACATAGGTATGTCACCATAAAAAATTAAATGAATTAAATTGATTCATGTTGGTTAAGCATATCTTTAAAATGTTTTTGATGTGTTCTCATGAAGCAGAGGGTTGCATGACAAATACACAATACTCGAATGCATTTTATGGTGGCAGCCTTGCAGGCGCTGAACTATTGGCCCTTTGTATTCAAACTTCTGAAGAACCTGAGGTTGTTTGAGATTCTCTTGGGGGGACTTTGTATTCAGGCTTTTGTTTCATTTATGACATTGCATTTCTGGACTGCTGCTTATGGTTATGATACTGTGTCTGTATCATTATTTGTTTTAATTTTTGTGGGACAATGCAAAACACTAAAGACAGTTAGAACTATTCCTATTTCTTAGTAAATTATAATTTGGCTATTACACCTGTGCATGCCTGTCTGTGCGTATGGTATATCAGTATACTTTTAGGTCATTGGGCTTAAAACACATAAGAGACACTCATCCAATAAGCAAGTAATAGAAGAGAAATGGGTGGAAAGTAGCTTCACCAAGCAAAAGAAGTTTACTCTGGTATGCTTTCTATATCTTTTATGAGTCTTATTATGCCATTGCGTTTCAAGTATATAGGATTTTAAGTTAGCAAGGTCATATGATAAAATTAACTCACGTTCTTTAAAAATTTGAATCATCCAGCGAGTTCTTGGGGATGCTCAATTTTACTCACTGCAGCTAGACTCAAATAGAGCTTGCTTTAGTTAGCTTATGAGTACATCGAGGCATCTTTGATTATTATTGTTATTATTTTTTTAATTTCAATTATATTAAAGTTTAACTATCAATTGAATGCGCTTGTTTTGCATTGATCGTTGACTTTAACTCTTAACAGATCATCATCAAATAAGCAAACAATTGCTGGAGGAAAGGACCAAAACAGCTCTCATTCAGTGTAAGATAATTCTGGTATGCTTGCTTTATCTTCAGTAAGTCTTAATTAACCATTATGCCTACACTTTTGAGAAGAATCTTATGATATGCGCAAGTTTTATGCCTGCTTGAATCTGAATTATACAAGTTTTTGTAGGTGTACAATTGTGCTCTTAGCTGGAGGGGTGTCCCAATATCTTGCTACTTGTATGGAAATTTACCAATTTCAAGGCGTGTGACCAGAGTAGAGTAGCCTATGGACTTCCTTTTTCCAGCTTAGGCATAGCCCAACTCATCCAGTGCTTCTGCTAAGACTACATGCAGAAGCGTCTTTGTTCTTTAACATCAATATTGCTACAGATTTGCTAGCCACAACAAACTTAAAGGATTACAGGGTAGCAGATGCTCTTCTTGCAGTCTTAGTAATGAACAATAATTCTGGATACTAATTGTTAGTTTGAATGAGATGTTCTAATTGTAACGCCTTCTGATAGACCAAGGAGATAGGAGTGCAAGACTCCAAATCCAACAATTTCTTGTTGGTCCAGTGTTTTTCCAAAAAAGAAGGAAAAGAGTTCAAGGAAATATAATAAAAAAGCAACAAGATGAATCTAGTTTCAAGGTCATACGGGAACGGACCAAATCCACACTAACCAGATAGAGAAAACGTTTTCATGGAAACAAAATCAAACTTTTAAACAAAACACCAACTTCCCGGAGCTAACAAAATCAATAATCAGAGCAAAATTACGCTGATCTTGAAGTAATTTAGGTGAAGATGGATCAGTAATCTAGATTTTGCTTTGGGGGATGGTAAGGGCAATTGTCGGTGAAAATGCAGGAGAGAAATCAGTAAAATTCAAACATGAAACGGAAATTAACGGAACTTGGAAAACGACGATGTTGAATGGGAGTTGGGAGGATCGATTATAAATAGCGGTAGGATAACGGAACCTTAGTATTCTGCGAATGCCAAAATTACGATAGAACTCGTCTTGTGGTCTCTGTCAATTTTCAATGCGGTGGTTCTCTGTTCTGTTTTTCTATTCAGGAACGGTCTAGCAGGTATTGTACTCATGGGCCTCAGGCCTTAAACGTCCATCTTTTGGTCCAACCTGAAGCCCACCATGTTACTTTAGTTGGGCCGCTCTTGATGCATTTTTTGAAATGAAAACTGTTTGGTTAGGTCAAAATCGAAGATTTTGAGCAATTAGTGCACTATTAATATTAAGTTATTCACTGCATCAGATGGGCATTAAAGATGGTTATACCCGACTTCATCTGTTCGGAAATGTATCATATTTAAATTATAAAAAAAATTAGATAAATAAGGAGTATGAAAAGAATTTTTATATCTATAAAAAAATTAGATAAAATTTTTTTTCTTATACTTGATATATTTTATATCTATAAAATAATAATAATTTTTTAAAATAAAAATAATAAAATACAAAAATAAACCCTAAACTAAAGAAATCACATATACAACAATAGTAACTCGTACACAAACCTATTCTTTCCACAAATTAAGTACATAAAAATATATCTCTGAGTTATCTAATACCTGTTAGGTTAAATACTAAATATAGATTTTTTAAGTATTTGAATAAATATCAAATTTAAAAAACTATAATTAAAAATTTTTAAGTCAAGTATCAAATATAGCTTATATTTGACTTGTACTCGAAAATGTTCATCCCTAAATATATGACAAAATTGAAGTATGTATTGTATACGATAATATTATCATTATAATATCATATAAAATTATAAGTTTATAATTTTTTGTGATATTAAATAAAATATGATGTAATATCAAATAAGTATATACACATAATATTAAAAATAAACTCTTAAATATAAAAAAAATTAATTATATAATGATATATTATATAATAAATTTATAAAATTATATGAGTTTATAATTATAATATTCTTATATTAATATTATATATGAATCTTTGGACATTTTATCATACAACTTGGATTAGAAACAACAAAAGAAATAGAAAATTGCATCCAATCCGGGGTTCATCACCTGTCAGAGGAAGGCATGCCTAGGGTTGCGAAGGCTAGGGCCATTTGATTTTTGAGGTTATGTTGTCTAGAACAATTCCAACAACTGTTCTGCAACTATTTACGAGGGCGAGGATGTGAGAAGCAAGTTCATTTTTTCTGTTTTCCTTTTTTTTTTGAAAATAGGCAATAGAGACGAGAAAGTTCATGCCGGCGGTTTGTGACACTGCTTTTTTTTTTTGGTCTCAGCTTTAATGGTAAGCCAGTCAACAAATACAAAGGATTGTCGGGAGTCGGGACGCAGTTCAGTTATTGCCATGACCTGTTGCAGTTATTGCCATGATTACCGGCCTCCTACGGTCATGTCCACAACAGATAGAAATACTTGTTTTGGATATTAATTGATTTTTAGATTAAATGAAATAATTTAAGGTGCTAATTATCATATTTTTTAGATATGCATTTAAAGGACTTGTTTGGATTAGCTTATAAGGGTTTTAATTTTTAGATATTATTCATATTTTATGAATTTATTTTTTTTTTAATTTTATATTTTTAAATATTTTTTTAATTTTAAAAAGATTATAAACAGTAAAAATTGAAAAATTTTAAATCTAAATTTTTCATAAACTCTCTTTTTACTCATTTTTTTTTACCTTTAAAAACAAAAACTCAATTTTCTCTTTAATAAAAACTTAAAC